GATTTGGTTCGTCATTAACCGTCGCCAATTGCGGACGACCTATTGACGATATACATTAATAAATACATTAAATGTTATTTCTGCGGAAGAAAATTATATTTATTCGACATTCTTTCGCAGATTTTAAATGTTTAATTTAATTCATCTCGTTAATAAATCATTTCATTTCTAGAATTCTACAAAACAGTCAACCGATGAGTCTGCAATATTTTATTTAGTTTTAAAGAAAATTGGAAAATTAGAAAAAGGGGTCGATTGACTCGAAGAGGCAGAATTATGGCGAATTCGGTAACGAAAGATCGAAAGAAGTCCTGAAGAGAGTTGTTTAGAGTTATTCCGAACTGTTTTTCTTTTTATATATATACATCACTGTTTAATCAACCACTTTCTTCGTACTATTTTATTCTAATAATATATATAGTTACTACATTATAATGTTAATTATAAAAACCAGTAAGAAAACTAACTGTTCTTATTGCAAGAGTTTCTGAAAGTTAAGAATAAAATTACACAAGCATGTAGCGAGTATACATGAGCCGTTCATTACATAAATTGATTAACTCCATAAAACAAAAAGTGGAGAAATGCAATGAAATAAAGTATATAGTTTTTTAAAATTCCCTTTATAATTTAAATCGAAATAAATATCGTAGAATGCATAAATACAAATGTAACTTTCATCTAACGGTATATAAAATTTATAAGAAAAAATAGCCAAAAGGTAATCGTTGGTAATGTTACCATTTTTATGTTACTGGAAGAGTTAATCGATTTGGCAAGTGAAAAAAGTAATAAATTTAAATTTTACTAAATTTTACTTAAATTCTGATAAGACGGCACTAAAAAATTCACCGTTATCATTTGTGGCTTGCTGGTGCATTTGAGTTGCATTATTGCAACGATTTACATTAGAGTACGGAGTTAATCAAAGTGACCTCTGAAATAAATTATTTATTATTCAGTGGCCAAAAATTTTAGTCATTTAATGGTGTTAATCTTAATTATCGGGGAAAGTTATTATAAATATAAAAAGTTATGACTATACCAAATGCTTTGGCTACAGATTATTTCGACACAAAACTGAATCTTTAGTATAAATGCACTTTCGTACCTTGGTAAATTTATAATAAATATACTCTGAATTATCTTACACTAAAAATTCACTTTGGAGATACTTAGAAATACATATACAATTACATTACCAAAATATTTGATATACCATACAATCTGATCACTTTAAATCCCAATTAACAAAATAAAAGGGAGTTCCCTGTCCATAAAGAAATTAAACACAAATCGTAACATAATTTATAAATCCTCGAAACTCTTTAAAGACTTGAAATTTCTCAAACTTAAAGTTAATTTTGTTAATTTCGTTTTGCAAATAAAATACTTTGTCTTAAGAAGCAAATAAGAAAATTTTTGTATAAATCTCGATTGAGTTAAAATAAATATAGAAACATAATAATAATATATAAATATTATTAGCATAAATAATAATATACAAACACGACGAGTTCAAATTTCTTTCTATAAAATCGCAAATGTTTCTGTACCTGATTTACAACGGTTTTATACTAATTATAACGTTGAATTTACTAAAATCCAGAGTATAATTTTAACTACGAAGCGATGAAATATTCTTCCAATAATTTCTCCAAATTTTGATATTTTGCTTCAATATTTATTCGTCTATTCTGTATTATTCCTTACCTTCAATATTTATTCGTCTATTCTGTATTATCCCTATATTTCCTTGCCTGATTCTCAAAAAAATTTTTATCTTAAAGAATGCAACGTTTCGAATTTTCTAAATTTTGTATTTACATTCTTGGGTTCACACAAATTTCAATAATTCCAAAGTTTCGAACTTTGAAATGATGAAACTTTGGTAAATAATCTTATCACTTATTACTTGAAACGTAAATTAGTGGGACACCTTGTAGAAGAGAAGAGAAAACGAGGAATAGGTGTCGAGGAATTGTACGTCACGGTACAAGAAGCTTGGTAATACGACACGTGTTAACCGATGCGTTCGGCTTATTAAATCTGAGTAATCGAGATCTTTGCTATGAAATATTATGATTACTGGACAGCGGATATTTATGCGAATGCACACTTTTACTCGAAATAGGTAAAATTATGAGATCTGGAGAAAAATTTCTTCTGCTATTAGAGGGATCGAAAAATATAGCTTTTATTTTGCATGTTCCACATAAGTGGATATTTTTTCCAAAAATACATAACTCCATAGAAACGTGAGTGTGCATTTATTTTTTCTGGGTCATACATAAGTTTCACGTTGTATTACAAATAAATAATTAATATATTATTATATAATATATTTATATTATCGTTATATTATATTACAATATATAAAGTTTAAAATTAGTGACATTCTGAAATGTGCAAATGTACCAAAAACAATAACAGATTTCGATACAAATATTGTATTGGTAGAAATTTAACTATACAAACATACGTAAGATTATATCATCCAGAATGGCCTGGTTTACGAAGGAGCTATTGCAACATAAAAGCTATATGCAGGAAAGGAATAAGTACGGCCCTAAAAGAATGTCAAGAGTGTTTTAAAGTCAGTGATAAAATTTTTTAGAGATAGCGAGTGAGTCAGCGGAGATTTATTAGCGTTTAGAATAAATTTTAGTTTAAAATAAATCATTTTTATATTTACGTCACTGCTCATTCTGTTGCATACCCAACATTCCTACATATTAGGTTGTGTCGCGTCGCGTCGCGATCGAAATTCTCGTATTTCCGACGGGTTGTAAGGCCGTCTCGCGATTACGACACGTGTTGCCCGCCAAATTAATATTGGGCAACTGTTTAAGTTGCAAGAGCAGAAAAGAGTCGTATCTACGACGGTCGACGTTTCGAAAAGAATCGTGGCGTGTTATTGATTTGAATCGGTTAGACGGAGTGTTTTAGAGAGACCCGACGTCTCTCAAATTTCGTATCGAAGTGTGTTAAGAGAACCCGTGTCTCTCAGGGCTCGTACGGAAGTGAGCTCCTCGATCTTCCTAAGATCGGCCTTAGGAAAAATCGGGAGCTCGCCAAATATGATTGGCTGTTTTTGACCAAGGGCGTTCCCTTGGTTCGCGAATCCGTGACCTTGGAGAAAGGGAAGGTTCCCCCAAAAAACAACGATAGTGGAGGAAACCCTCTCCTCCAAGGTGGGGTACCTGGGGTCCACCCGCGCGCTGGTGACCCCATCGGTCGTTTATTACCCCTAGCGAGGGCCTGAGGCTTCCAACGCGTGCGGACCACGTGGAGCCCTCAGGCCTATTGTCAGCCAAGTCTTAAGAGCCGTCGCCTAATTTCGTTAAATTAGGGATTTCCAGGATTCTCGTGTTCCGCGACACGAGAAGTCAAAGAAAAAAGGTAAAGCATTCAAACATGCCGAAGGCATGGAGCGGAAAATTCCGATGCCGAATTGTTGGACCCTAAGACCTGGCTGTTGGAAGACAGTAACGGATCTTCCTTGTTCCACGACGGAACAGGTTGTCCCATAAGTTCTTTCCGCGCCACGCTATGTATGTCCTCGAGCCGACTATGTTTGTAATCATGCAGGATTATCTATTCTACGTTTATCGCATCGTTTTCAGTCGTCTCACAGCTTTTTCGAAGTACGTTTCGTTGGTGACAAGATTTCTTTTAAAAAATTGTTCTACGCCGTTCAATATGGATAGCCAAAAGAAGCATTCGCGGCATGTTATGCTTCATTGCTTTAAAAAAGGTAGTAGTGCAGAAAGGACACTGCAGACGAGATTTGCACCGTTTATGGGAGTGGTACTAGGACTATGCTATACTACGACCTTGCCCCATCCGATTATCACTTGTTCCTTTCATTAGAAAAATTCTCTCCGCGATAAATGTCACAAATCCGAAAACGAAATAAAAACGCACCTCGATGAATATTTTGCAAGTAAGTCTGAACAATTTTGGAAAGAGGGCATAATGAGGCTTCCTGAGAGATGGAAGAAAGTAATAGAGCAAAACGGTTCGTATATAACACAATAAATCAACCTTAAACAACAAACATCGTCTATTGATTTCGCATCAAGAGAAAAGGAAGAAACTTTTGGGACACCCTAATGTATATGAAGCTATGTAATGTAAAATTTACTACGATATTATCTGCAATATGTCCGGTTGCAATTAAATAATTATAAATAAATTTCCTTACATATATCTCGCATAAAAATTCGCTGTCTGATGGTTCTAAATCACAAGAGCTTGTCGATGCGAACACGTGAACGTGTAATTCTTCGATAAAGACAGAAAAGAGATAATAAAAGAGATTCAGGAAGCTCCTTAGTTATAGCGAATTAACAAACGCCATTTTACTACCCTATCGCGTATACTATTGTGGTATGGCAGGATGAGTGGGTCGAGCGTGTTATCTAGAGTGCGTGCGAAAGGACGAATGACCGTGCGTTAGGATCGTGTGGACGGGATGTTTATGAATGTATCGGATGAAAGTGAAGAGTGGCTTTAGGAATGCGTTTGAGTGTTTGGGCTAAGTGACCCGTTGAGGGTAAGATGGCAAGGAGTGCGTGGGAAAGTGTGATTGGGAAAGAGAGAATAGGTATGAAAGAGGATAGAATGTATGGTTTTAAATAGGGATGCAAGGGCGTGAGTGGGCAGTAGGTAGTATGTCGTAGTATAGTGTAGTATATTAGAGTTCGTAGCAGAGAGTTGTGAAGAAAGAAGTTGTTACTTGTAATTGTGTTGTTAGTTGTAATCGTGTTGTTAGTTATAATTGTGTTATTAGTTGTATTCGTAAAAGTTTAGTTGATAGATATCTATATTCGTAGTCTTTACCGTCACCGCACATTGTATACTATATTTTATGTCTAATAAATAGTAGTTATATTATTCAACAACCACCCTATCTCTACACTATAAACTTATAAAAGATACAACAAATTTTCACATAAATATACGTCACTGAACATATGTAGTTTCTATAGACTTACCACCAAGTGTTTGATAAAACTGTGAAAGATAAGTAAGAATTGATAATCGGTCAGGTACAGAGCAGGAGGCCATATCTTCTGCATCCAAAAGTGCTGGGATTCCAAGATGCTGCTCTGCTACTCTGAATGCCAGTTCATTGTTCCCATACACGTCATTCTTGTCTAAATTGTCGAAGTCACTGCAATCAATGTAAAGAATAGATTATTTCTACTGATCATGCTCTAATTCGAATTCTTACTGTAACTTTAGCAACGTATAATCTAATTTCGAAGTAATACAGTTTGAATATCAGCGCAATCTTGGTGTTGACACTTTGACTGCCACGTTGGTCATATATGACCAGCCACGGTTTCTCGTGTGACACACGGTGGTCATTGGTGACCGGGGCGCTTAACCCTTTCGCTACCAGCGTCACATATATGTGGGATTGGAATAAGTACGGCCCTGAAAGAATGTCAAGTGTGTCTGGGCTTAGAATGAAAGTGACCATGTGCGCGAGGATCGACTGCAATCAATGTTTATGTTAGAGTGAAAGTTTAGGGATGCGTGCAGAGTGGTCGAAGTACCTGGCCCACGGGGGTTGCATGGAAAAGAAGTATGATTGCAAAGGAAAGCCTGGGTATGAAAAAGGACAGAGTGAATGCTTAAATAGGGGTGCAAGGGCGCGGGTAGCACAGTCCTTCACGGTCTTCGAGATAGCGTCTAACAAGTAAAAGTCGAGCGTACCCGTAGCGAGTCTTTAGTTTCGTGGCCGATAATATAAGTATAAGCTTATTGTATTTTAAGAAGCAGTAAAGCAACGTTACTTTAGCCAATCCCCACAACCCCAGATCCTACATACATGTGACGATCTGATTTTCTTATCTGAGCCCGGCGTCACAAATATGTGACGGGTGTTCATTATCAGTTTATGATAATTGTTTGCACCAAATCGTGGCGCACACAGACGGGTTATGTTATAAAACAATAAAATAGACGCAGGATGTTATTGGTCTAGCGACAATTACTTTTTTAAAAAATATCTGAGCATCACAAATTTATGCTACGTGTTCTTTATCAATATTTTGTAATTGGTTGCACTAAGTGGTGTCGCAAGTATATTAGCTGAGTTATATGTAGAGTCACACAGTCTCTACTAGGCTGGAGAGTACTTCGGATTCTCAACTTTACTGCAGTATAGGGACAATTTTATTCATTTCCTTTTGATCAAATGTGTCACATATATGTGACGACGGGGCTACCAAAGGAATTATCTATCTATAGCTCAGTGTCACTTATGTGTGTCGGCTGTAAAATCAATTTTATATCCAATTTTATTCATTTCCTTCTAATCAAATGTGTTACACATATGTGACGACGGGGCTACCAAAGGAATTATCTATCTATAGCCTAATGTCACTTATGTGATATACACAAAAATAAATGACAATTGGTATCATATTTAAATAATAAGACGTCTGGACTGTGGTGGTGGTTTTTCTCCTGAGGCTCTGGTAGCGAAAGGGTTAAATTACTTGTAAAACTACTGTAGGATTTTTGGCTAAATTAATCCTAAGCAGACAGAGATCTGCGCGCCTAGCAAACAATAACTCTCTTTTTGTAACAGAACAGGTTTTATTTAACTTATATATTACACTATGTTCCTCACACGATCCTCTATTCACTACGTCTCTACACACATTCAGCCTTCTGACTCGACTCAAATCTGCCTACTTCTGACTTCTTCTCAATTCTTCCCAATTCTCAACTCTGACCGACTCGCGCCCTTGCATCCCTATTTAACACGTTCGTCGCCCAACGCGATTCGGTTGAGTTTCTCGCGGGGCCCAAATCCTACTGTCTGAGCGCTAGAACGTTATCGAACTGATGATTTGGATGCGTCTACTACAGACACCGCTAGTTAGATGTTGGTCAACGGACCCTATTTACAATTTTCCATTTCCTGCAATCGTTTTGAATTACTATCAGCAAACTTGCATTTTGCAAATAACCAAACCATAGAACAGAGTAGCAGATTTGGTAAAGTTTTACCGCTCATAAATATATTGACAGATAATTACGAAAAATGTAAAAAGTTACGATCTATTGTTCCAATTATCCAAAATCACGTCAAATATGTTTAGACTGTTTTAAGGAATACCATGCGACATAGTGTAATGTAATATTTTATCCTAAATATAAATGAATAAAAAGTATAGTATAATGTGTATATTTTTCATATTTTTATGTTGTATATCCTATATTTATAATTCAGTGCTTATTCCATTAAATTCCTTTTAAAAATCCAGCTGAAAATCCTATTTAACTTGAACAAGAAGAGCAGTGACGAACGTGTTAAGTCCAAATCTATCTCTTTTCATACACATGCTTTCCTTCTCAATCATTCGACATAGTCACAGACATTCCGACAAAAGGATTTGGCGCTATCGTTTGTTCTTTCGCGTTGGTCCAGATGCCGCCATTTGCTATCCCTTGCTTTTCGAGAAGCTGCCCCATCGTTTCCATGCACTCCCTTAGAATTATTACTAATACCCTTTGCACTCGACGATTTTTTGGCTAAAGATGAGTAGGAGTTTAAAGATTTTCAGAGGGATATTCAACACTATGACGTCCACGAGTCTAATCGGGATTCTTTTGCTTGGCACCGGTAAGACTGACTCGTCATTTTCCCATGACACCAACGTGGTGTCACCGTACAGCATAGCGTTAAGTAACGTAGGAGCTGTTCATTCTCTACACTCATTCTCAATTCACAAACCCTTACAACACCCCAACCATCACCCAATTTACTCCTCAATAAAGACGCAAATCCTCCATAAACAAATAGATAATTAACTCGCATCCTTTGAACCTCTACCTCCATCGAAAAAACCTAAACCTCATATACCATTCCATGCATTCACCCCGAAGAAAGAAGCCCCGAGTCGAGGAGACAACGGTTACCTCTTTACGACCAGCGTCCCACGGCTCGTGGACCCCCAAATCTCCTAAAACACCATTCGAGTCAATCCTAGTAAGATCGTAACCTTCATAAACTAATACACAATTAGCCGAATTTAATTAAACCTTCGCCTTCCTTTGAAAGACCTGTACCTTATCCCTATTTCCACACATGCTCTTAGGGACGAAGGACCCTTTCGAAGGGACGATGGTTCACTCTTTTACAACCAGCGTTCCACGATTCGAGGACACCTCGACCTCCGAAACTAAGCACCGAGTGAACCCCCAATAAAAAGATTAAAATTTCCCAAAACTTAGAAACAAATTAACGATTTGTTTAAACTTCCACTTCCACCTATCAGCTCCGAACTTCATGCACATTTCTGCAACAAACACGCCGCCAATAGAAGAAAAAACACACCCACCACTTAGACACCTCGACAGCCAATGACAGCAACACACTAACATATAAAATACACGAAACCAAGAAGACAGACACATTCCAAACGGAAAAACGACACTCGCAACACAACGATCTTACGCATATCGTTGATTCTCACCAAGGCATCTTGTAAACTCTTTGTAAATATACTTTGTAATTAAATTATTGTAAAATCAGAAAAATAGTTTACGTTCTTAAAACGACGTAAACCTTCGCTTGAATTCTCCCTGCAATTTAAAGAAGGCTCGGACGAAACAGATTTTCTGCTATAAAGTTAACGATATTTTTTCCAGCAGTAAATAAGAAATTGTATAATAATTAACAAGTAGAACTATTTGATTTCTATACCTTGCATACCGTTACGTTATCTTAAATTTGATATATTAATTAATATCGATCTTTGAAATTTTATCAAATGACGACTGAAGGGAGATTCTCGAGTGCAGGGGGTTAATACTTTGTTAGTGTCCTTCACCGCTCCTACACTACAATTGTAAAAATTGAATATGAATGAATATAACCGCTAATTAGAAGATACTTTGAAATAAAAATTGCCCCATTGAACGATTAAACATTTTTATTAGAACGTCGATCGAAAAAATATTAAAACAAATCTTGCATCTATCGGGGTACATCCCCGTGGCGTCCTGAGCGAAACGTGTGATTTCGACGTGGCAGTCAAAGGGATAACAATTACGTGTCATCGTACGATTCAAATGTGAATACAGCATACGAGTAAACGAATGAAATGTTCACAAAGATGATGAAGTGATAAAATACTATGAGACCTAGCATAGCGTGAAATTTATTTCAGATATAGCACTAATATCACAAATTAATTTTAGAAATAATATGAGAATATTTAAGAAATAAATAGTAAGGTAGATAAGGTAATTTTATCATCGAGCACTAAATGCTAAATAAACTGCATCAGTACTTTTATAAATATCCTATGCATTATGTTTTCAGAATTACATACGTTTATTCCAAATTTATTCCAGATATAGCACCAATATCATAAATTAATTTTAGAAATAATATGAGAATATTTAAGAAATAAATAGTAAGGTAGATAAAGTAATTTTATCATCGAGCACTAAATGCTAAATAAACTGCATCAGTACTTTTATAAATATCCTATGCATTATGTTTTCAGAATTACATACGTTTATTCCAAATTTATTCCAGATATAGCATTAATATCATAAATTAATTTTAGAAATAATATGAGAATATTTAAGAAATAAATAGTAAGGTAGATAAGGTAATTTTATCATCGAGCACTAAATGCTAAATAAACTGCATCAGTACTTTTATAAATATCCTATGCATTATGTTTTCAGAATTACATACGTTTATTCCAAATTTATTCCAGATATAGCACCAATATCATAAATTAATTTTAGAAATAATATGAGAATATTTAAGAAATAAATAGTAAGGTAGATAAAGTAATTTTATCATCGAGCACTAAATGCTAAATAAACTGCATCAGTACTTTTATAAATATCCTATGCATTATGTTTTCAGAATTACATACGTTTATTCCAAATTTATTCCAGATATAGCATTAATATCATAAATTAATTTTAGAAATAATATGAGAATATTTAAGAAATAAATAGTAAGGTAGATAAGGTAATTTTATCATCGAGCACTAAATGCTAAATAAACTGCATCAGTACTTTTATAAATATCCTATGCATTATGTTTTCAGAATTACATACGTTTATTCCAAATTTATTCCAGATATAGCACCAATATCATAAATTAATTTTAGAAATAATATGAGAATA